CCCCAAAACCCCAAAACCCCAAAACCCCAATTCCTCAAAATCCAGTTGAAATCCAATTTTTTTAAAATTCCAAAACCTGTGAATGCTGAAAACGGACCTCAAGCGTAGGAGGAAGTCCTAAATAAGCAGTCAGTTTCGCACAAGTGTAGTTCTCACGTAGAAGAGGTGTATAAATGAAGGTTATAGAGTGCACTCTTCAGTGTTTTAGGTATTGGGTTATCCAAGAACAGTAAATTTCAAAGGCTTCTTTGGTTGAAGGGAATTGGCAGACCAGGTCGAGGGCTAGGGAGGTGAAGTTAGCAGGATCTACAGAGTGGCGGTGGGTTTTAGATTGTGAGTAAATATCTCTTCATCCTGTCAGGAGGATTTTTAATCTGAAATTTTTCTTGTAGTCACTAATCAGATTTGTAAGAATGTCAAACCGGAATGTATTAAAGAAAGGACAGAGCTTATCAATATAAATTGAGCAATTGGGATTGAACTCTGCGTGCATTTCGGGCGATACAAATAAATGGGAAAGAGAGCGAATATCAGATGGTCGATTATTGAGGAATGAAGAATAGCATTCTTTTATTGATGATATTTTTGAAAGCTGAATGACCAATAATGTATAGTTTGAACCAGGAGAAAGTATGTTGCTATTATTTCTGAATTTTTCCATCAAGCTAGATATTTGTTCTGTATTTTCAATTCTTGTTCAATTTCCGATAGTTCTCACATCAAAGTTTTTAATTAGAATATGACCATCAATAATGTCTTTCTGTGAAGTTAGTTTTATCTTTGCTTCAATTACTCATGTAAAGCAGCCTTCACTAATTGTTTCATTTTGATAGTTTAATAGAACTACACCAGAGGCCTTTACTTCAGTCATTTTATAACAGTCTGGTTTGTAAGTATTAGAGATCATTGTTATATTTGTTAATTCGATCATTTCTAATATTTTTAAGTTCTTAGAGAATGCTGTTTCAAATAGAAAGTTACATCTTAATGTCTTCAAATTTGGGTAATATTGAGCAAGTATTAAATTTAGTTTTATAATAATCTCCGGTCAATCAATTGCTAAGTTAATTATTTCACATTCTTGAACTGAATCAAAGATAGGAATATTTCTATCTCCAACTTCAAAGGAGGATACATCTGGGACTAAGTCTAAATTCTCATTAATGATCACTTGTTTATTGTTCAGAAGAAAGAGAGAATCTACTCAGATAATTTCAAAAGTGTCTTTTACTTTGGGAATAATATTTATTCTCTTTATAAGATTTCTTCTTCAATTCTTAATTTCAAAGATATCACTAAAATAAAAATAATGGTTTTGCTCTAAATTGATAAATTTTATTGGAGAAGGCTGGCATCCTAAACCTTGAGAAATCTTATTAAGATTTTCTAACAACAGGTGTACATCATCATTCCATTCCAGTGCATTCTGATGACCATTACCAAGCTTGATAACTATTTTATTTATCTGGTGAATTCTCTGAACTGATTTAGCAAACTTGATGACTCGGCATCAGTAGTACTTTTTAAGTAAGTCAGATGCTTTAAAATATCATTCGCATTGATGGATCAGGGGGTTTTCGGTCCAATAACTAAGGTTCCTCTCATCAATTATAATGGTATGCAAATTTTGTTGTAAATAGTCAATCCATAAGGGAAGATTCTTGTTCCATAAGCTCCGAGTCTTAGTAGAGAACCTTCTCATAAGTGTATCTCAGGCAGGCATTTTGGCGTAATAAGGAAGAATGTTCATTAAAAGGCCTAATCTTTGGAATAATTCTTTCCGTGTTCATGTGGTTTTCATGAGGATTTCTGGTGCTAGAGCCTTGTTAATGTGTGGATAAGTTAGCTTTTATATGATTTATAATCCTAGATTTTGTCTGTGAAAGATAGATATTGCGCTACTTTCAATATATATTGCACACGGTGGGGTTTTGGGGTTTTGGGGTTTTGGGG